AGTGTATTGTTTGAGGTGCTGTAAAAAAGGAGGGGGGGGGGGGACTAAAGGATGGGAAGAGAGGATAGAAGAAGTTTAGTAATGTATTGATGACTGATGCTACGTACATGGGGACATGTAATGTCTGTATTGTATATATGGATTAGTATGTTTTTTGTGTTTGCTTAATACAATTTGAATATTTAAAAATAATAACACTGTAAGGGATGTAACAATTCAAAGCAAAATGTGCAAACATTTTTTTTATCCTAAAACATTTTTCCTTTAATAGTAATTTAAAGTAACAAAGTAAAGGCAATCTGTTTGCCTCTGTCGTAAATAGCAGTTTTTGGAAAAGTGCTATGTTGCTTACAAAAATATATAAAGCTGACTGACAATTTTACATCTAATGCAGATTTTAGTCTCTGGACATTATGGTGAACATGGGGACAAATTGCTACCCTTTGCTCCATGAATACTCACACCGTGCCCAAGGGAAAGTCAATAATGCAACAAACTACCCCATCTGATATGGCTCCTCTGGATAACTAATCAGAAGTTGTCTAATACAAAGATTACCACTGAATTATTGGAGATTGCTGGTATATTGTACAAATGAGCCTGTGGAAATACATCATCATTATATACACATACAGCCTTGCAGAATCTGGAAACTGAAGATCTAATGTGTTCTCGCTCCCCCTAGAACAGGTGCGATTAAACAGCAAGAATCTGATTTATTGTTCATTAGTGGTTTTTACATAGCATTTCTGGAGCCTATAAATAATTGGAATTGTCAAGACCAGTTTAAAACTCCCATCAATAAAGCCGTTCTTTCAGGAGGCTAATTAGAAAAGCTAAACATTCATTTCACAAGACACTACAGGTCATGATGTAAATTTTATTTCGAAGAATGAGATATCATAAATACCACCCAAATACCTAAACAAGAGGCCATTCATCTGTGGGGAAAGCATTTCACATACAACATTCTAGACACATTTTTATTAATGTGCACTGGATGCAAAATGTTATTATACAGCTGGGCTGATTATGCTCATAATGCATACAGACATAACAATTATAAATAAATCTTTTAAAATCATGTGTAAGACCAGCTATTAGGAACATTGTTTCTCTATGTACTTAATAAATGTCACTAGAAATTTTAAAGAGAAAGCTCTACAAATTCCATGTATTTAAAATTGTTTTAGAGTGGTGCAGTCTTTAACAAAAAAAACTGCAAATAGGACTACTTGTAAACGAAGAATGTAAATATTTAACTTTCCTGCAGCCTGAGCCGTCAGAATGCGGCTCCATTCACTTGAAAATCTTCTGCTAAAGTACACTGGCAAACCAACACTTCCACGTGTGTTCATCTTCTTGGCATCCTGCAGAGCTCACTGGTTTCTTCCGCCAGCTTCCACCTTATTACAGGATCGGCAGCTCTGGGAAACAAGGAAATCAACACTCCCAGAAGTCCTAGTTCCCAGCCAACTTTAGCAAAGGATTTATTATGAATGGAGTAGCATTTTGACAGACTGGGAGAGGGAGGGGTTGCACTATAAGCAAAGATGATGAGTAATCAGTGTGTTTTTGCTCATTCAGTGTTCAGCATACTGGAGGCAGGAAGGTGACACCACTGTGTTCCCTAACTCTAACAGAAGCAGTGGTGTCATCTTCCTGGCCATGCTTGCTGACTGAGGTGTACATTTTACAAAAGTGGATAAAGAGAATTGCAAATTATTTGGCTGAAAACAGTTCACACATGGATAATTTAAAACTAAAGCCCACCTTTTAAAAAAAATAATAGTAAATGTACACACATTCATAAAAGACAAATATGCATTTTTGTTTTTTGCTTTAGAGCCAGTAAAGCATTGAAACCGCAATCAGTGGATCGTGAATGCAATACTCTGTCTCCTACAGACTCTACCTCCTGTCCCTCAGAACAGACATTGAGCAACCGGGATGCACTTGTATGCCATTGAGAACTACAAGTCCCTTTGCCATGGTAACAGATAGAACTTACAATTTCTTGTCAAAGGAATATGTGCACAGCCCTGCCAGATATAAAAGAAATAGCAGCAGTCTGCAGAGAGAATAAACCCCTCGATTTAGGTAAGTTGGAGGGGTTGCGATGTGACCAAGTTTTATGTTACACCCTGAATATGGGTGTAACATGAACCATGGTCTAAAAGGCAAACTAAGCATTTAACCGGGTATTTAGTTGTTTGCCTGTAATCAGCTTTCATATATAAGAACAGGAATAGATGTATTACTTAGGATGGGGTAGGCACAGAATATACGACGACTCAAACTACCCTTGACTTTTTCACACAGCATATAACATACCCCTGTTATCCTGGTAAACACCAGTATGCCAAATATAAACTTTCATTTCTAACCTCCTATGGGTTAATTAATACACTTCCTTTTCATGAGAGGAGAGTAAGTCGTGGGTCAAGAGTGTCTGAAAGTGTAGCCCCACTTCGGGCAGACCTTTGTTGTCGAGGAGCCATGCACTGGTGACAACTTCAAAATCCACAATATGCTTCCTCCTCCTTCATGCCAGCAGAGTGATATCAGGACAAGGGCTCAGTAAACAGCAGCAAGAGGCCGTGAGGCGGCCCCAGGGACCAGGTTTGTATTTATTAAATTTGTCTTCACTGGTGAAGTAGACATTCTCTGTCAAGATAGTTTACATCAGCTGGTTGCTTAGCCAAGCTAGTTGTTGATTGGAGGATGATGAAGGGGGCATCATCCGCCACCACCTCGTCTGCATTTAATGTTACACCGACTGGGTGTTTTTACTATTGTTCACCTGGATATGTCTGTTCCACCATCACTTTGGGGATAATTTTACAAAAGTGTATCCAATTGCTACCAATTGTGAGTAGTTTTCTTTTTAATATTAAACCTGTTGATACCGCACATGGTGGTGGGCTCCTCTTTGGTTTTGTTTTGGTACTGGTGACAACTTATGTAAGCCTCTTTACTTATATCTCTTTGTCTGCTGCAGCGAGTAGTGCTGAAAATTATGATTCTAGAACAGGAGAATGAAGCAGGTTTCTCTCTAGCTGAGAAAGCTTACTAGGATGCTGAGCCAGAACATTGCCATAGTACCAAAATGCAAAAGCAAGAATGATTCCAATGTTACTAAAAGTTCCTTAATAGAAAGTCAGAGTGATGCCAATGATAACAAATCGCCATGTTATGAAAGCCAGGGCAATGAAAGTGTTACAAGGAATGGTTTGCACTATTCCTGCTAAAGAGGAACTTTACCCATATCTTATAAATAACAAAAAGGGCACCTTCGGAAATGTCTAGTAATGACAATCTACAAACACATATTTCTAGATAATTGCAGGCCTTGTAGTCTTTGCATACCCTATTTCTCTTTTCTTCCCCAGTCATTTGACAGTGGCCATTTTAACTAAGGGCAGCCTACTAGATCTCCCTTTACTTTCTGAAACTTTGGCAAATGTGATTAGGACATGTGACCATGCACATCATCTCAGGGGAGGAAAATGCCTTTACTGAGATCCCATGAGATTAGGGATGACATTTTCCAGCAATGCTCTGCAGATGTTCTCTTCCCAATGTGCAACGCTTGGGCACAATTACATAATTTGTGCCAAAGTGGACCAGGAAGTGGATGAACTCTATTTGTAATTAAATGAAAAACATGTTTGTTTAACTAATGAATGTAAAGATGATTTTAAATCAGCATGCAGGGCTGCATGATGATGTGATTTTTAGTGAAAGGGGTTAAAGGTCTACCTTAACTCTAACACAACTGGGCACCAGGGCCCCTAGGATACTGTTATCCTTGTTCTCATTCTGGTCATACATGTAGTATTTTGAAAGCTTTCGAATAAAACAATTCCATGGAACCCCTATGTGTGGTCCACAACAATCTGTCACCCATGGATCCAATTGTTTCCCACTTGCAAACAACCAAAATTGTGATGGAAATCAACAAAAGCTGAGGGGAGGCTACCAAAACTGCTACCTTTGTGGCCAGTAAAAGTTTACACAGCCAGCTCTAAAAGCCTGGCGGTTTCTGCACTCCACTAAAAAGTATGCAATTTTACAATTAATTCACAGTACAAAATAGCAAAAAGTACACAACTGTCCACTATAAGAGAAATACTATATACAGCTGTCAATGGATCTAGAACTGTACCACAGTCTCTCATACAACATCCAATGCACCCAATCATCCAATAGTCTCCCTGACAATATGCAATAAGTACAAGTAAAAAAAAACTACTAAATATGACCCCCTCCGCATATTTTTCCCCCCTACTTTGTGACGCAAGGTATACTCACCTAAGCGTCCCACATGGGTCCCTCAACAGGGCTGTTACCTGATGTAGGCACAGCTGATCCAGTTCTGCAGATGTGCCTCCACTGGTTGGTCCCTGAGAGTTCCTTCGCACTGATGTCTCTCCTCTCCTGGATCCTGAGAGAAATGCACTGCTGGAGAGCCAATAGGAAGTGTTCAGGTCACACAGGCAGTGAAGTGAACACCCAAACAAGGACCCTGGCTCATGTAAACAGAAGAGGAGACTAGACTCTCCAGGAGCATCACGTGAATGCGATTTTACGTAAGAAAAATGGGGATTTTTTTTCCATGACAGTGATAAGTTAAAGGTGGGTGAGGGGGAGAGATGGGGTTCATATTTTGAACCAAAGTTGAGTTTTAAACAATTCTGACACTTACCTTGAAATGAAGGCTTATTCATGCTAGCCATTCGAGGGCAGTAGTGTTGTCCAGGGAATCCCTGAATATGGACCTCCAATGGAACAGGCCGCACAGACGGGCGGAAATTGAACAGTCCCATCTACAATGTTAACGCAACAGACTTTATTAAAAAACATTTTGATTAAAACCAACTTAAGATACAAAGATTGAATCTGCAGCACTTTGTTACAGAGAAAAATCTAAGCATACCCAGTAAAATGAGTTGTATTAACAGATTCTACAAAACTGTTTGTGACCATAACACTACCTCCACACTGCAAGAGTTAACTGCTCGTTTTTGTCTAGGGAAAAAAGAAAAAAAAGTTATACTCACCTGATCCTGCAAGCCGGCCAGCTCTTAGACCAGTCCCTGGAACCTCTTTCCCCCTCCTCTGCAGTGGTCAAAGGATCCTTGAGTCAACATGTCCAATAAAGTGTCTAAGACGTGGGGATGCTGAGGGACATACCATCGCTGCATTGGAGGAGACAGGCTGAAGGGAGCGCTGTCACAGCTGGCCGGTTCGGAGGTTCGAGTATATCGTTGTTATTTTTGACACTAGGCAAATACGAGGAGTTAACTCTTACAGTGCGGGGGTAGCCCCACCAAAATTTTCACTGTAGTTGTTTCTATAAAACACAAATGGACAATTATTTGAATAGAGTCGAGTGCATCCAGAGGCATCATAAAAGTCTGCACTTACAGTAGCAAAGAGGGACAAAAAGGGGTTCCTGGATAAGGTGTTAGACTCAACTACCAATGGAATGGTAATACACTTCAACTCCATCTGATACAGTAGTGGGAACTTACACTAAAGCTGGCAATCCACTAAACAAACTGATTGCACAGTGTCTGTACACTCTTTTTTAGCTTTACCAAAACTATGTAATAAAAAAGACAAAACAATAAATGTACTATTTAGTATCAAATCAGGCAGACCCTCATACTACAACTACATAGTTGTTGGCAGATCTAAAGGAAACTGTACAATTAGATTGCATAGTATATGGTAAGTCTTAGTGAATAGCACCTTTAATGAAAAAAACAGAAAAAGGGTTGGATAAGTTATTATAGTTGCATGCTAATTTTATGTTTGGCAGCTTGAGTAACTGAAAAACACAGCTAACCTACCTGTCCAATGCCCAACCAATCAGCAAGATCTCTAGCATTTGCCAGAGCTGTTGACAAACCAACAACACGCACTGTCTTCTCTGTGTGTGAGGAAATAAAATTTGTTCGGGATACAATAACTTCAAGTACAGGTCCTCTCTCATCCCCTAAAAATAAACAAACATAACGTCACACAACGTACATTGACGGAATGCTTTTCTTATGCAACATCCAAAATGTGTTGTTAGTTAGATTTGACATTACTTACCAAGCAAATGGATTTCATCAATGATTAGAATGGCCACTTTCTGTACATAACTTCTGTTCTGCCAGCTCCTGCTGACCCCATCCCACTTTTCTGGGGTAGTGACAATGAGGTCAGCTTCAGCAATAGCTCTCATATCAGGAGTCACATCACCAGTCAGCTCGACAACTCTGTTGAGAAGCAACGTTTTTAGATGTTGTGAATAATTTTAGACCACTGCAAAAAGACAATATGGCTAAAAAATGAATGTCTGAACATTTGTTTCCTAGGCACAGTGGATTTCATAATGGGTTATACAGGAACATTTTAACAAGAGAGTTAAGCTGGCTAAACACTATGGGGGGGATTTATCAAAACTGGAGCAGATCTGCACTGCAGCCAGTCAGCTTCTCTCTCTTACCTGAGCAAACTGAAGAGAGACGCTGATTGGTTGCAATGGTCAACTGCTCCAGATTATGCTGTGAAGGCACATCTGATGTGAATGCTGTGTTTTGCTATTTACTTTAAATGACACAGGTGAGGTGGGAACATATGAGCCATGGTTATACAAAATGCATTTATCTTTTAAATATGTGCCAATAATTTGTGCTTAAAAACAAATGCACACTTTGAAATGCATATTCTAAAATAAATTGTCATCCGAGTTGTCAAAATCTTGTCTGCCTTGATTAGTCCTATTTGTGTGTTTAATACATACTACTGTTCTGCTACTCCTAAAGATAAATAACACCTCATGAATAAGATCTCATCATATTGTCATGCTTAGTGCTCAGCAGCCCATTGCTAACGAGTGGAAGAAAAATACAAAAAGAAGCAGCACAGGAAAAACAATGAACGTTTCAGTCCATTAACTGCTATGTTGATTGCTTATCCACACTGATTTACTAAATTATACAACTCCTGACCTTGAACAGGCTATTAAAAAAGTTTGCACAAAGAACTGAGCCACTGCTCATGCATGGAAACAAAAATGCAAACCACAATAATCATAATGATTTGAGTTTCAGCATTCACTGAAAGTTCAGCAGACACAGTTATTTTAGATGTACAAGTGTGCCTAATGCCCAAAAAAACATACAAAGGATATTCTTCTACATTTGGAATAGTGAGTGCAACATTCTGGGGGATTTCAGCTATCTAACCCAAACTGATCTGTTTGCAATTAAAATTATTTATAATGTTATTAATTTCAAAGAATATCATTTTATGACTTATTTTTCTGTATGGGTAAATAGACTTTTGTGGAGAATTAAGAGCTCATCTAATGGTTTCTGAATATAATTTATGATTTTGTAGAGTTTAACTGAGTTTTTTGGGGGATTAATTCGGTCAAAAGGCAAAGCAAGAGAAAACAGGAGCATTGAGACAGCCTGTGCTACAGATTTACAAGATTACAGCTTCAGTCAAAAATTCCACACTCAGATGCTATAACGCTAAAGCATTGATATTTAAGCATAGACAGGTGATTTGTGAGGTGTTTCTCAAGCTTTTTTGTGTGTGTTTTGTGTGTGTCTTGTAGTACAGGAAAATAATTGTGCATTTTAGGCCCTATAAATGGAAGCACTTGAGAAATGCACATAAACATGCATTTTTCAGGTTCCATTTAAAGTCCATGAGGCCAACATGCATAATTAAGCCCCAAAAGAAGCTCATGTACTTTTTAGAGCCTCCCTTGACAAATGACACAACACTCAGGTCTTAACAGGAGTAAAAAAAAACAATGGGATTCCTCTTGTTGAGCGTTGTGCTTAGAGAAAGAAGGCACAAAACACATAGATATGAATGGGGCCCATAGTAGCCATTAGTACTGTGCCAAAATGAAACCTGACCATAAATACTTCGACATTATGTATCTGTTTAGTGGGAAAATCTGTTGCATCTTCAGTAATAAATCTGTTGTACTTGTTTGCCCAGGAATAAAAAAAAGCACAGGTCTGTAAACCTGTCGCAGAGACTTCGCTGATTGAGAGGAAGCCTGATTTGCAACTTATTGTGTCACTAATTTGTTTGATACATGTCCACCATTGTGCCTTCAGTTCTATTCACAGTTGTTCCTAAAAAACAGTTTAAGTAAGCAAGCACACAATTTATTTAAAATATGAGTAAATAATGACATAAACACAATCAATTAACAGAAATATTGAAATGATAGAAAACATTGATGGATGATAAACTGTACCTGTGACATATTTGGGGCCCAGTTTTATACATAAAGTATAGTATAGTATATATAGTTATATATAAAACCTCATTTAATTTAGCATATAAGTGTAAAACAAATGCTTCTGATAATATCAGATTGAATGTGACAAGGCACCTACTTTTTACCAAGCTTTTCTTCTATTCTCACTTTCCAGTCCTCCATTCTTTCACGGACCAGAGCCTTCAGAGGAGCTATGTAGACTGCCTATATACAAACAAGTAACACAGAAGTATTAACAGACAGTTTATGTTGGAGAGAGGGACTCGTCACAATATGTGGTTGTTTAAAGTTTCTTATTTGATTGCACAAATATTTCATTTCTATGTTTAATGCAATTTTATTGCCACTACGTGGGTAGAGCAATAATACTGTGCAGCAGAGAGACAGAGAGAGAAACACACAAAAAGTCACTGTCATACCTTTCATCAGCATATTTCAGTTGTCAGAAAATATATAACTGTTTAGGTGTTTGAAGCATTTTTGTAGCCAAAAATTCAGATGCTGAATGTGTGCTAAAATTAAGAAACTGCTCCGGTCGTGAAGTTGTTAATATATGTAATGTAATCTTGAATCTGATTGGTACCTGTGAGAAATGTCTCAATACTAACATTTACACAATATCGGTTTTCTGTATGTGAAAGACAGCAATGATCCTGCAATAGGTATAATTAAGAATAACTTTCATGGGCTGGGGTCCATGAGCAGATTACCATATTTCTAATTAAAAGGACTGGGGTGAATTGGTGCACTGGAACGATTCCTCAACTAAATGTGCTTCTGAAGGTTGAATTCTAGCATTTGACAGAAGAACATCTTTATAGAGGAACCAATATCAAGTAATCTGTTATATGATAAAGTGTTACTGAGGCTTCCGTGACTAAGAGAACTAATTAGGTAAACCTGTAACGCAAGAAATATGGAGACTGCCATTGCCTGAGATCTTTCTCAAAATGTTAGCTGCCTGGCTGTTATGCTCATTGACTGGCTTCAATCCTTTCCGAGTCATTAACCCTAAAAAAACATGCAAATCAGAAAAGTAAGAAGTCCTTATCTGCATACTTGTTTTGGGTTAGTAACTCCAAGAACTGAAGCCAGAGGATCCGATTTAAAGCTAGAGGAAAAAGTAGCAATGGCAGCTGCTAAGAATATTCATCGGCGTTTTTAAAATTGTTTTCCTCACTATGAAGAAAACATGCCAGAGTCTAGTACCTGGAAAACTGTAAGTGTATCTGGACAGAGAATAATTATAAATTATATAAATCAATTTTCCTCCCACTGTATGTAAACTGCTGAACTCTCATAGCGGAGGTCATGCTTTGTACTGTAAAAAAACTGTATCCAAGATAGTACTAGCCTGGATTTGAGCATCATTAGACTATAGCATTTGTCTCCACAGGTGTAACATAAATGTGTCGGTGGCAAAACAGTTTACATATTTAAACATGCAACAAGCAGGATTTGCAAACACAAGAGTAAACCACAGTTTAAGACCTTAGATGTTGGATACTTGTTGAAGATTCTGAAGATGGCCAGTTCTGCAGCTACAGTCTTCCCTGAACCAGTTGGAGCTCCAAGTAGAACATTTGAGTCTGTGTGGTATAGAGTATGGAAGATCTGAGTTTGAACGGGATTGAAGTGTGTAAACTTGTACAAAACTTCATATTCCCTATGTCCCAAAGCTGTCACAGGCAATGGCTGCAGGTCCAACAATTCTGCCACAAAAAAAAAGTTAACAAAATTAATATTATTGTATGGATGCTTACATCTCAGAATAGTATTACACTGCTCAAAACCAGAAAACGAAATATTATTGGTGATATGGCCAGTAATATCTGCAACAAAAGGTACATGAAAGAAGCATATTTGTAAGGCATGCATTACCGTGAATAAAACTGTAACGTTTATGTGACACAACAATAATCCTTTTTAAATGCTCGGCCTCAACTGATAGAAAGCAATTCATCAATGTGAAACCTAAAAAAAAGTGATGCCCAAAATGCATACTTCCTGGGGACATCAGACAGGCATGTGTGGCATGGAAGGATTCAGGAACAGGGCAGTACTGTCATTTCAGAACGCAGTGGGCAGAACTAGGTGTGAGCGAATAGTGAAAAGTTACAAGCTTGTGAATCAACAGTGACAATGCTGATGGCCCCTGCAACATTTTTTCATCCCACTTTAGTGTAAGCAGGCAGAGCCCACACAGAAGCGGCAACGCTGATCTGAATTTGGGAGCAGTGCAGCATTGTTGCCATACCATTACAGGAAGCTGCATTAGGTGAACTTCCCTGGCAGACTCAACAATAATTTGTTGAGGGGCTAAGAAAAAACTTTAAGGGCTGATGCACTCAAAATGTATTGTTTTTTTTAATGGGGGGGCATAATTTTTGATTAAGAAATAATGCTCTGTGCTAAATAAAATATAGTTGAACAACCTCAGACTATGGTCATCTATAATGATTATTACGACCGTAAAAAAAGGTAAAGCATTTTATGTTTACGGAGTGCAAATCTGGTATATTGCTTTCAATGGTGTTATGCACACAGGTGCGTAAACATGCGCTGTTGTCAGATTTTTTTCAACCACTTGCTGACCGGGGTGTTAAACCCTCTTCCTCGCCAGGCCAAATTTCAGTACTCAGCGCTGCGGTACTTTGACTGACATTTATTCAGTCATGCAATGCTATATTGAAATGTATTTTATACCATTTTTTGGGGACAGATAGACTTCTTTTGGTGGTATTTAATCACCACTGGGGTTTTAATTTTTTTACCATATTAAAGTGACATTAAAGTCAAATAAATGTTTCCCTTCCCCCAATGTTAATGTTAGCACTTACCTTAAATTATGTCTCTTAATCCGATCTTCCTCTTCTTTCCTGATGACATTTTGGAACAAAAAAACGTTTCCCCTATATTAAATTAGGAAACATTATTACCCAATTTTTTGGTAAAATATAAAAGACGGGGTCACGACGGCTAAATAGACACCAAACATGTCAAGCTTTAAAATTGCGCGCAACGCTAAAGCTCCAAAAACGACAATACCCAAAATTGGCCATAGGCGACACTTTAAAAGCTTTTACCACTCATCAGTTTAGTGTTGTTTGGTCCTAAAATTATTGCTCACACTCAACATTCGTGGTGATATGTAACATGTGTAGCGCAATTGTTGTTTTCACGCGTTGGCGCACCTGACGCATATTTATGTTTATATGTGCGTATACGTGGGGGTGGTAGACAAACATTTTTTGGGGTTTTAAAAAATTTTTTTTTTAATATGTGACTTCATTCTTTTTTTTAACTTTTTTATTTTTTGTTAAACTTAATGTTATTGCTATCAAATAGGGGGCTAACAAGCCGATCGTTTGTATGTGTAACAGCCGGTAACGGCTGTTTGCATCTGACAGTTTTTTTCTGCCCGAGCAGAAAATGTAAGCCAATGGGAGCTTACCATCCATCCATTTTTTTTACAATGGGCAGACAGCAAGAAGTTAAGACAAAATAAAAAAGAATCTGCATCTGAGCACATATATTTTAAGTGCATACATGTGCAAATGAATGTTTACATGCATACTTTAGTAAGCACATACATGTGCATGTAGCCTAACCTGTAATAGACTTGCCTTTTTTTTTTACACTAAAATTCAGCAGCAGCCAACATTCTTGCTATTTTAGGCTGTAGACCTTGAGCTAGGTAACAGTTTTTATGGGCTGTAAAAGTGGTACCCCAAATAATATGGTATTAATCCTGACAATTCTGATTCTACCACAGATTAAGAGTGTGTACTGGAGTAGAAGCCCTCTAGTGACATCTAGAACTTGCATTAACTGAATTAATAATTGGTTTATTTTAAATATCAGACAGACCTACATAGAAATTACATTATATTTCTATATGATTTCATATACTGTATGTATTTACATACAGTAGATCAGATGAAGATGGAAGGAATATACAGTCTTACCTGTGTGTGGAGGATGCCTTTCTGGCAAAATGAGATGTTGAAAATTTATTATGCAAACTGCTTCAGCTCCTAGCCATCGATCAGACACTGCCCGGATATAGTACTGGGAGGGTAGTGGTTCAAAGATGGGTATTGTAAACACCAGGAGCTGCTCTTCTTTCATAGCAACCTGCAAAAGTTGAATTGCACTCTGTCATACTGTAGGTGCCTCAAACAATATTTTCAAAGTATTCTTAAAATTCTACAATGTATTCAAGACCAGCCACACCCAGCTCCACCAAAATACACAATACTAATCTTCATGAAAAATGTATCATACTTCATATAGCAAATATGAAAAGAAATCAACCTTCATGCTCCTGCTGTAAACCAGGGGATAGCACAATGGTCAACGCTGTACCCCTGCCTGTGACTTCACAAGGGAGGATGTGGTTGTAGACAGTTGTTGTCTGATGGGGCAGGCCATGCTAGTACAGTGCAAATAAAGCTGCTTTTCTGTGCCTATTGCAATCCTTATCAATGTCAATCAAAGGGATGGGGAGACCAAAGCTGCTACCTTGCCTGGGGCCCATTTTCTTTTTTGAATGCATCTCTGACTCAGGCACATGGAAGAGCTAGCATTCTTATTTTTTGTAAGCAGAATTGCCAGTTCCGTAACCTTTGCTAGATGCACCGTGTGTTGTGGGAGGATGAATTTCAGCACCTACCAAAATGATCAGGTGGAAAAAAGGCACAATCTTGTGGTCGGGGTGAGATAACTCAAGAAAAGGCCAAATTCCTGTGGGAAGTGGTGAGAAAAAGGCAGTGCCTTGTGAAAATGGCCAAGATAAAGCAGACTCTTTATGAAGGGGTGATGTCTAACATCACTTTACATTTTTCACATGCATAGAATGGCATCTGATACCTCAGACACGCAGAACAATGTAGCACTGTATTGGCAGCCATCGGCTGCTGTAGAGCAGTAATCCATAAATAGATATGAATGAAGCATTAGATGTTTAAGTCTTTCAGTTAAAAAATAAACCATACCTGTTTCTTTTGCAGCAAAAAATATTCTGAATGGTAAATGTGGTCATTAGTGGGATCTTCAACCCAAATCCACCAAGGTTCTCCAACTGTTCCATGCACCTGTTTTTATAAACCTGTGTTAGTACATAATACATTTACATCTGCATTTTAGTTTAGTTGTTTATCTCTTTCCTTAGATTTGAGGTAAAATTAAGTCTAAAACACAATATGGCTACTTTCAATTACATGGGAAGTGGGGTCTTGACCACAAGCTCAGAGCCCAAAGCTTTAATTCCTCAATCCTATCTGGTATTAAAAAGCTTCCTATGCAACCTTGGAACTCCACATTACCATGTACTCAGCTAAAGTCCCTCACCAAAAACTACACTACAGCAGACATTGGACAATCCCTTTCAGATTGAGGTGTTGCACTTACCTAAAGCCCTACATATGTTTATATATAAGAGGGATTCCAAAGCACCAAACTAAAGAGTGAAGGAGACAACACCTAGATTGGCAACATTTTCATAGAGTTACGTACATGTTTTCATAAGCTATAACTTATAGACTTATAACAGTACATGCCTTGCATATACTCTTAAAAGCAGAACTTTATGTTGTAAGCAGCACCCATGGCATTGTTGACACTTCCCATCTTTTAAATAAATAATGTCCTTTGTATTCTACCTTTTATTTGTCACATATCAACTTATCTAGTCCTTCTCAGCCTTCTTTCAGCTAGTGGGAGGGATTCAAAGTAGACGAAGTAACAGAGAAAATTCAGGGTGAGACTGGGAGGATTTACATTACTCTTTTTTGGAGGGCCAACTGTCCAAACATACACAGAGGCAGCTAGAATAGATCAAGGCAGAGGTCATACAGATACCAAGATTTTGTTGCTGTACCTGTACACCATCGGGAACACAAACATGCAGCTAACAAGAAGACACTTTTAAGTATGCATACATGCATTTTTCTAGCACTTCTGCAATAAATGTATGCATAAATAGCGATGCCACAGTTTAGCTTTATAGGCCCATCTTATTTGATACTGATTTCCATCTATTATTTCAATATTAGTTTGTAACATCTGCAAGTAACAGTGTATGTCACAGATGAAAAAAATCTAAGCAAAAAGTGCATGCAGATGTTTTCATTTTGGATAGACTATGGAAGGGCTAAGTCCTTGATAGGTTTTTTTTATTACTGACAGGAGTTGAGGGTACATCGTCTAATTGGAAAACCTGTTCTGGTGAGGATTGCCTATAGGAGATTTCCCCTAACTTTGCAGAAATTTCATATAGCTTCCAGTTGCGTCTCCTGGACAAGAAGTAAAAGGACATTTCCCTAACAGAACACAGACAGCAGAACATAAACTTTTGAGGGATTTCAACCATTCACTACTCTATACAAAGCTAAAAAAAAGGTTTAGCTATACAGACACTGTATGAAGTTTATTATTCCACAATTATGATGTATATAATTGAGCTACGCTGCGAGTTGTAATATGCAGTTGCCAATATGTGCTCTGTATTTACATTTTCCTAATGCTAAAGAACTGTACTTTGACACTTCATACGTAGCAATCAAGCAAAGAAAACTCTCTGACATCCAGATAAAATTAAATATCTAATGCTACTTGGAAACACCATGATTATCTTGTTTCCCTAAAACTAGATGGGATAAATAAATGTACAAGCAGGTCCGGTCAGGAAAAATATTAGATTAATTGCAAGCTAGATGCTATCCAACAACAATTCATTTCACTCATTTATTATGTCGTCTGAGTGAGGCACTGCATTATGAGATAAATGAAGATTACTTCATAAAACTTAAATCAACATTTATAGTATTTCTCACTCAACAGTGACACCAAGTTAACTAATGTACTATGCAAGCATAAATCTCGAAATGTAATATGGAAAATAGATTCAAATAAATTCAGCACTTGCTTCCTGACTTAACCATAAGCTTATCACTGTAACTTTTTGAAATTAACTTTCAATGTAGACAGAATCTGGCTGGATTATCCTATAGATGTAAAAACCAGACAGGATAATGAACACGTAACACATAAAGGCAGCACTGGGAATAAAGAGCTACGGGGTGTTGACCTTGTGAACTGTTTGGGTCATCACCTATTGGGTGACCGAGTGCCTCTCATCATGTTCAGTCTATGTGATACAAAAGATTGGCAAGCCAGTGTTCTGACCTTCGGGTTAAATCCAACAGCAGGCATTAATGAGCTTTGTACTAGTGCTGAACATGACAAAACTGTAACCAACTCTTTGCACGGGAAGACATTATCTTTCTTTATTTCCTCCCTCCCATTTGTTAGTTTTTTTATTAGCTTGCAATAATGAATTAAACATCTGCTTACATTCTAAAAGACTGTTTTATATACATATCACTGAATGTTATTTTCCATTACAAGGAAAATAAAAAAAAATAAGATCTGGTCAACATCCACTTGCTTCCACTCCCAGTATACCTATTTAATTCACAAACAAAATAACTGTTTTTTCACACATTACATTCTCTACAGGAATCTAATTATTACAGCTTTACGGTTGTTTTAGGCTTGCCTTATATAACAGTATGTCTGTAAAATATCCTATCCTTTTATTTTTGCCCATTTTTTCCCCAATTTTTTCATTATCGGTACAGAAAAGATTAAATCCTATTACAGATTATGATCCTAAAGGCGCTATGTTACAGGAAACATGTTTTTCTTTTTAAATTTGACCCAGCTCTATCCACCTTTTCAAATAGGTAATACTCATAGTTCTTGGCTATTATCTTTAAAACAGATGGCCCTGATTTACTGTGATGCATAATTTGTAATGGCCTTGTTACAATGGCAACTGGAAGTGGGTGGGATATATTAGGCAGTAAGTGATGATTTTGTTCCTGAAGTTGATGTGTTGGACACAGAAAAAGTAGGTAAGAGTAAGGATTTGAGCAACTTTGACAAGGGCCAAATTGTTATACCCAGGGCCGGCCTTAGGGGTGTGCGAGCAGTGCGGCCGCACAGGGCGCCAAGGCAACAAGGGCATAGACGACTGGGTCAGAGCATCTCTAAAACTGCAGCTCTTGTGGGATGTTCCTGGTCTGTAGTGGTTAGGACCTATTAAAAGTGGTCCAAGGAAGGAAAATCAGTGAACCAGCGACAGTGTCATGGGCGACCAAGGCTCATTGATGCACGTGGGGAGCGAAGAATAGCCCGTGTAGTCTGATCAAATAGAAGAGCTACTGTAGAAAGTCTGAACACACAATAAATAGCAGCTTGTTCTGTATGGAGCTGCGCAGCCACTCACCAGTCAGGGTGCCCATGCTGACCCCTGTCCACTGCCAAAAGCGCCTACAATGGGAACGTGAGCATCAGAACTGGACCACAGAGCAATAGAAGAAGGTGGTCTGGTCTGATAAATCACATTTGTTTTTACATCATGTGGATGGCCGGGTACATGTGCGCCACTAACCTGGGGAAGAGATGGCACCAGGATGCACTACGGGAAGAAGGCCAGTCGGCAGAGGCAATGTGATGCTTTGGGCAATGTTCTGCTGGGAAACCTTGGGTCCTGCCCTTCATGTGGAAGGTTTGACACCTACCTAAACTGTGTTGCTGACCAAGTACACCCCGTCATGAAAACGGTATTCCCTGATGGCAGTAGCCCCTTTCAGCAGGATAATGCACCCTGCCACACTGCAAAATTGTTCAAGAAGGGTTTGATTAATACAATAACGAGTTTGAGGTGTTGACTTGACCTCCAAATTCTCCAGATCTCAATCCAATTGAACATCTGTGCAATGTGATGAAAAAACAAGTCCGATCCATGGAGGCCCCACCTCACAACTTAAAGGATTTGCTGCTGATAGCTTGGTGTCAGATACCACAGCATACCTACAGAGGTCAAGTTGAGTCCATGCCTCGACGGCTCAGGGCTGTTTTGGCAGCAAAACCGGGTCCTACTCAATATTTGGCATGGGTGGTCATGATGCATCCTGGTGCTATCTTTTCCTCAGGTAAATGACACAGGCACTCGGCCATTCACATGATGCAAAAGAAAGTGTGAATCATCAGACTAGACCAGGGCTCAAAATTTCAAGTCCTGAGCTACTAGCCAGGCCTTAAGAGTTACTCGCCACCAGTTGCCCCACCTGACCCCTACCGTGCCCCGCCCTTAACTCCGCCAGGTCAGTGGTGTGACACAGAGAACAGAGATCAGTAACAATGCAGAATCCCATTGCAGGCACTTTTGGTGGTGGACACGGGTCAGCTTGGGCACCCTGACTGGTCTGCGGCTACGCAGTTCCATACGCAACACACTTCTCTGCACTGTGTGTTCAAACACCTTTCTATCGGAACCTGCAAATTTTTTTCTGTTTCCAACACATCAGGGACAAATGTATACTAAAGACCTACTTTACCCACCCTCCATCTGGCGGTTGTAATTGTTTTTGAATTGCATTAAAAGGCTAGCAGGCTGCCAAAATTTAGTTTCTAAAGAACTTAAAAGAAAAATAAGCCGTGTCTCTGCTCAGTGCCTATGTTGTAAATTTGAAGTTGAATTTCTCTACAATGGCTATAGGTACAGAGGGGAGAGAAGACATGTTTTTAACTATGCATAATCTAGCAACAGATTTATTTTCAATTTTCTTTGCCAACAGAGAAGAAGGGAGTTGTGTCCCACAGGTCTATTTTTAAAACAGCATCTGCTGCAGAGGATAGAAGTTGCTGTCTGCAAGTGGCTTTTTTTCTGTGTAGCAGTTAAGCATTGAGATAGATAGGATACTTTTTACTTTGAAATACTATTATAGCTACAGGAAACAAGATTCTCTTATCTAAAACACTGCCTTGAAATGTTTTTCTTGACTCAAACGGTAAAACGTATGGTGTCATAAAATTATGCATATAGCACCACAAATTTACACACAAAAAAAAATCGGTGTTCATATAGAAGATATCTCTTGCTCAAAATCCCACGAGAATACTCCCCCTGCCATGTTCTGAAAGGTTCGCTTTAATACAACTACACGTCCTACATTTTCTGCAAGCAAACCGTATTCTAGAACTTCCACATTTCAGAAACCCCTGCCTTCTTCAGCAGAGGGTGAATTCTATCTAATTCTAAAATGTTAAAGACATAGTAATGATATACCAGTACAGTCCTTACGATTGTTTAACAGATATCATGAAATATTGGATGCACCTGATCATTCCATTTGAAGTCAGGGTTGATGCTCAACCGAACTCTAAGAACTGTGCGAGTAATTGGTTGCATAGTGGCTTCCATTGTAATGGCTGGAATTTGATGGACGCACTGTTTCACCTTTAGCCCAATGTTCACATGATGCAACATGTGACCTAAAAGAGGTACATAAGGTTAAAAACGTTTGCATAAACATTTGCATATACAGGAACAATAATGCAATCAGACTTGTAAATCAGCTTTTAGAGGAGCATATTACAGCTTGCTGTTTTGCATTGTGTTGTACAAATGAGTGACTTTTTTGACCTGGCATGTTCTAATGTTTTGTAATACTTAACTTGAATTAGTACAGTGCAGTTTTAGTATTTGCAGCTCAGAATAATAAGTGTTAACCCACTGCAGTTAAAAATGACTTAAACTACATTTCTATGATAAACTACATTGTATATGCATCACACTTGTCAAAATGAAAACAACCCTATATGTTAAGATTACTAACAATTCACTTTCAACTGTAGTGGGTTAGATTGCTTAAGTAGAATAAGTGCACTTTCAACACTTATTCCTTATTCTTACTTGTCCTCACAGCCTGCTTCAAAAAAGTACATTTCAAAGGGCACTGATGTTTTGTGAATTATCAGCATTATCAAGCATGGGTCCCCTTAGAATGAAAGTGGTGTGTTTTCATCATTTTACATCTACAGTAGTTGCTTCTGGCCACCACCAGAGGGCGTAGAAGGGAAGAAAAGTGACGGTCTTTGAATTCAGATAAATAAGCAGTCCGTCTCTGGTCTTTCCTTTAAACCCATCTAGTGGTGGCTGGTAGATGCAGGAAGACCATACAGGAAGAGCATACTGGAGGCCCCCAAGTCTGAGAGACCTAGTCATCAGCAAAACAAGGATACCTTGTGGCTGACTTTTTTGTGAAGGTTGCAGGGAAACAGTACATTTAACTGCTAACCTTTTAACATTTGTACTACTGGGCTCTGCCTTCCATTTTGTAGTTTAAATGGCCAAGCCAATTTTATTATTCTTTAAACATACATTACAGCTTTAACAGTTTGTAAAACAAATTCCCCCAAACCATATCTTTTCTTACAGAGTAGGACTTACAGTACTGCACAGTATGTATAGCAAAACAATTATTTTAATAAATTACACTAAAAAAATGAGTACTGCACACTGATTCAACAAAATATAAACAATAACAAATCAAAGTATAATTTTAAAATTAGGCACTTTTGTAAAATTAATAAGGGGCTTTTTGTCTGTGCTTCTTAACTGCAGGTATGTGTAAGTCATGTTTACTGTTTGTGAGTGTGTGGATGGGTTTCCCTAAATGTAGTTAGGCTTTTTTATTTAATAATTTGCTTATATGCTTTTTTTTTTTTAGTGTTTTTTTTTAAGTAACAAGGGGCCAACAGAATACAGAAGTCCTCTTTATAAAACCATCAGGTCTCCCTGTTGGCTGAAAATGGAGATCAGGGACACAGTATGCCTTTTCTTCTTTACCCACAATATGCACTTTAGCATTGGGCATTAAACCGGAAGTGTTTAGAATTGTACAGTTCGATTTATTTATAGTAATATGGCATCTCATGTTCGTCAACCTCTCCGGTCACCATTCTGATGTTTTAAATACAGTCAGTGACACAATAAGGTCAGAAGAGAAGGCTACACTAGCAGTAGAGGTCAAATAGAAAGGATTGGG